GGAGAAGCCCTGTGTTTGCAGGGAGTGTGGGCGAGGCTTTACAGAGAAGTCAAGTCTCCTCAGGCACCAGAGGACACACACAGGGGAGAAGCCCTATGTTTGCAGCGTGTGTGGGCGAGGCTTTTCAGAGAAGTCAAATCTCCTCACACATCAGAGGACACACACAGGGGAGAAGCCCTGTGTTTGCAGAGGGTGAGTGAGTCATTACCAATACATCACATCTCAACAGCCATAAGAGGACAAGTGTAGCCAGCACACACACTCCACACCCCAGCTCTGAGGGGGCTTCAGAGGAAGTCTACTGACCCCTTACATTCCCAAGAGTGTAACGAGTGCAGAAATACTGGTTAAACAAATCCTCCACTTTCATGACAAGAGATGAGGGAGACAAACAGGGAGGGTTCCTTAAGTGCTCTGGGGATGTTGATACCAATCCCCTCCATGGTTTTTTTGGCCTCCTGTTCTAATAAATGTTGTCTCCATACAAATCTGAAGTCCAGACCACATACCTCATTCTCCTCTTAGCACGGAAAGCAGAGGGTTCAGGAGGGCCACAGAGAACTCATTCTCTTGGCCCAGCTCTCCATAGGCACTCAACCCTTGGAAGTCTGGCATCAATCTGGAGTCACTCTGGTTAGGTTACGAGAGAATCGATTCCTCGGCCCAGGGAGAGAAATCTAGGATTTGAGACAGATTCATCAGGGAAGGTTATTCCCTGATCTCCTGGGAAGTGTGGCCTTTTTTCCTAATAGGCCCCCCACCCTCTTCCCTTGGCTTCTCCAGAGTCCTCTCCTGGTTCCTCCAACCTCTGTAGCCTCAGAGGTGAAAGCCAGGGAGGGATGCGTGCACATGTGTGTGTATGCACGCATGTGTGTGTGCACGTGCATGTACCTGGCTCAGTCTGGGGCATCTGGTCTCCCTCACTCTCTCCTTGCTGTCCCCTCAAGATCAGCATCTGGTGCACAGTATATGGACTCCAGATCAGACCATAGTGGGTTTGATTCTCAGCTCTACCTTCACCAGCTGTGTGACCTAGGGCAAGATACTCAACCTCTCTGTGCCTATTTTCTAATCTATAAAATGGGAATGGTAACTCCAGAGTTTGGGTTCAGTGTTCAAAGTTGAGTAAGCACAGGCAGAATTTGGCAGAGAGGGTGGCTGAGAATGCAGTGCTCTCCCTCCTTGTTATTCTCTCCCTGCACAGCTTTCAATGCCCACGTCTTCCAGGTCTTTAGTGCTGGAGAAGGGAAGACAAAGTTGGGTAGGGGCCTGGGAGCCAAATTCAGAGATTAGGCAGACACCACTGCTTTCTTTGCATAGACTCAGCTACCCTGAGAAGGAGGTGTGAGGTCAGGGATGCAAGTGTGTGGGGGCACCTCCCTCAGGGCCACTGCCCTTCCCACTGAGCCTGGGAGGCCTTAAAACGTCCCTTACCACGGGCAGGCAGTACTGACCATAACCTGTGAAACAAGCCCCTTGCTCAGCCCTTGCTGAGGACACTCTGGAGACCACCTGCAGGATCGGATGTATGGTAAGTGGATCTCCGAGCCCCCTCACCGCCCCATCTGCATACAGTGCTTGCATAGTGCACAACACAGAAGCTTCTATAACACACTTAGCTTGTACCCAGGCCAGCATGGTTTAATGCACCGCTATTGCCATCTTGAAATTCTTAATTATTTTATCTTTAAACTTACGTTTCGTAAGTAGGGTCTGATGAGACCATGGAGCATGCTGTAAACAGAGCAGATATGCACAATGTCAGCCATTCCTGGCCACCCATTCACATACAGTGTCCACAATGCCCCAAGAGCACAGAATTCCCATGGACTCAGTGGGGTGGGGGTTCAGCAAGACTCGAAGTGAGGGCAAGGTAAGCATTTACATCTACCACTGGGAAAGCGAGAGTGCTGACAGCTCAAAGAGGTCATGCTCTTCTTAGAGCCAGAACTGACTTTGAATACAGAGAGGAGCAATGGTGTTCTAAGAGATACAGTCGGTGAGGACCCCTATCATATCCTCTCCTATGTGAGTTACCTCCCTGCTTCTGAGGGAGACCTAACCCTATCTCAGTCCTGTTCCTGCTAGGATGCGTTCAGGACAGCCCCCCTTATGGGAGATAACAAGAGGAGTGTGGGCCACCCAGGGGGGACACCCAAACCCCACGACCTGGAACAATGACCTTCTGTCCATCTCCCTCTGCCAGGCTTGTGAAGAGTCTCTGCATGAACTATGTGGATTTCAGTAATAAGTATCCACTATTATTTTCTCTTTTCTTTCACGCTTTTTTAAAGGAAGGTGTGTGGGGGCCGGCCTGGAGGTGCAGTGGTTAAGTTCGCCTGCTCCGCTTCGGCTGCCTGGGGTTCACAGTTTTGGATCCCAGTTGGGGAACTACGCACTGCTCATCAAGCCATGCTGTGGTGGCGTCCCATATAAAGTAGAGGAAGAGGGGCACAGATGTTAGCCCAGGGCCAATCTTCCTCAGCAAAAAAGAAGAGGATTGGCAACAAATGTTAGCTCAGGGCTAATTTTCCTCACAAAATAAAATAAAATAAATAATAAAAGGATTTTGTAAATAAATAAATAAAGGAAGGTGTGTGTCCGTGGTCTTGTTTCCCTACGGGAAGAGGAGAGGGGACAGTTCTCTTTCAATATTCTGTGGCTTCCAGCATGGGCCATGGGAGAGGGGGCAGAGTTATTGAGTAATGCTGGCAGAGAAGCTTGAACTGAAATACAGTGGGAAGGGGAACCCACAACTGCCAGGTGATTGTCATCTCCATCTCCCACAGGCACTGACCCCGAGACTTGCCTGGAGCAATTCAAGATGAGGAGTAGAGAGAGGTCAGTTCCCTCTTGCTCCCCTTCAGCAACAAACTTCAATCCTAGTGTGGCCGCCAACCTCCAAGATGGCCCCCAAGTCCACCTCTTGTTATCCACACTCTTGTACAGTTCCCTCCTTCATAGAATAGGGCTGACCTGTCGTGAGGGTGATGGTGAAGACTCCTAAAACTAGGTCCTAAGAAGGCATTTTGGCTTCAGCCTTGTTCTCACTGTCTCACACAGTCTCAGATCACCTATGCAAGGGAGCTGGCTGTTCATACACCCCTCCTGCCCACCTGTCAGCTGCTGGCAGCCACAATCCTCATTTTGAAGAGGAGGCTCAGAGGAGTGAATACTGCCTGACCTCCACTGGATTCCAGTCTCTCTTCCTGATGGGCAGCTGAGAAGCATCTTCAGCTGTGGCCACTGTCCTGTGCCTGTGACACCTAGTGGGCCTTCAAGGCCACTCCAGCTGCACCAGACTCTACAGAGCAGGTCACTAGTCCTTGGGAAAACAGGACATCAGCAGCTGAGGTGACAGGATGGCACGTGTTGTGTGACAGGCCAGCTGCCTCCATTGCACGCTCCACTCTGTGACTGCAGCGGCCCCCATAGCTATGTCTGGCCCCACCTGGTAAGGACACTGGTAAGGACGTTGCTAGCTTGCTTGAGGACCATAGCTGGCCAGGTGAGGGAGTCACCCCAGGACGGTCAGCCAAGAACCCAGAACAGCAGAGCACCCTCCACAGCTGGGGTCCGGTAAGCCTGGCTGGGGGCCAAGCAGCACGAGTCTGAAACTTGGTAAATTTGTCTTTGACTCCCAGACTCTGCCCTGTCTGGCTCCAGGTACAGCCCTGGTCCTATTAGCCCAGCCAGTATCTGACCCAGCCTCCGAGAGCCACCTTTGGAGAGGATATCACTCACAGACGCTATCTTTCAAGATCAGACTGCTTAAAACTTATGGAAGAAAGGTTTTTAAAAAATAATTCTTTTTTAAAAAGTAAGAGACTGTTCATCTTATCACCCGGAAGAAACTCCTGTAATGTTTTGAAACATGCACTTTAAGATCTTATTTTGCAAGCTCTCATACTTAATGGCAACTACTTTATTGTTTTTTTCTGATAATATGCAGTTGTTAAAAAAAGGTTTAGAAAATAAAAACCACCCCTAATTCCATAATCCAGAGGGATTAATACGGCAAGTTAGAGCTTTCTATTAATCGTACACAGAAAAATGCTTGCTTTCTATTAATCGTACACAGAAAATGGACATGCTTGCATGTTTTTCTTTTACAAATGCTGTGACCCCCATCTTACTTTCTCATCTGCCTCTTTCTCTTTACAAAGTATCGCGAACACCTTCCCTTCAGTTTTCACACTTACGTTGTATTCTCCATCCCAGGTTTGGGCTGTGGTTTAACAAACTCCCTCTTGTTGGAAATGAAAGGTGTTTCCAGAAA